ATATATCATTCATACATTTTAATTAGCTTAGTTTTGCAAACTGCTCGCTCATATACAGCATACTATGTTTTATTCATATCATTTTTTTAATAATTATTTAATACTGAGCTCTGATCTGAGCATTAGTGAATAATTTATTATTGGGTATTAATGAAGCTATTAACTAGCATAAACTCTTTGTAAAAGGTGTCTTATTAGACAGTAGTACCGCAAACTGTTCTATCAGATCACTGAAAAACTTACACATGACAATTTTAAGTGTTCAGTTTTTGAGCAGCATTGCACTGAATGTTGATATAATAAACTGGATGCATGGATGTGGAGGTAAAATATTCTGTGTGCTCGCATGCAGCATACCAGGCAGCAACCTTAGTCGAGAACTATGCAGTTATCATGGAAGAACTGAATCTATTGCAGAAAAACTGTGGCTTCTTTTTTTCCCATGTTCACTGTTAAGTGGGCTCAGCCCATTAAATGTATGCTTTTATGGCAACGTCAGCCAATTTGATACTTGATAGTCTGCTAAGGAGTCACTGGAGTATTAATGAAGTCTGATTTATTGGCAGAATCTCATTAAAACCCTTCGATTAAACTCTCAGCTGGAAGCAAATGAAATGGAAAATTAAAATTGCTGCACTTAACAGTGAAAGAGCTAAAGGTAACGGCACTAAATATCCCTGCAGCAACAGGAAATGACTGAACTTCAGACCCATTCTTATATTTGTGTGGCCTTCTGTAGTTGCCAGATCCTAGATTAAACAGCTCTACAGCTGAAATTATGCCCCAGAAACATCTCTTAGGCCTTGTTCTGCTAAGTTGCATGCCAGAGACTGCCATGCCTAGAAATACTGCTGCCACAAAGCCACAGGGGACTGTCTGCCTCAGATTTGTAGCCCAAACTCACAGGGTGTGTTTTTGCCTCAATATGGCGAGAACAAAATTAAAGGAGGGCTTTGATGTAATTACACACGGAGGTGCCCACTGCCCACTGCTTTGTCCCGAGCTCTCGCACTCTAATGACGGGTTGAGAGATTGAACAAGGCAAATTCCAGGAAAGTAATGGCTACACTGATGTTAGCCAAGAGATTGTGTAATGTGCTTATAGTAGTAAAACACCGGGCCCTTATCTTTATTATATCCGGCCATTTCTCATCTAACAATGACTTCTTTGCTGTAAATGAGAAGCTATTATGTTACCAGTCATATATAATCAATTATGAATGTGCTTATAATACTTTATACATACAGGCATTTGTAAGTGCACACTGCCTTTATATTGCATTGCGATTAATAATGAATATCCTGATATATCAGAATTATTAGTTAAATACTCCATATCTACAATATATCAGACTGCAAAATGTAAAATATTTAAATAAAAGAAAACTATATATATTTCTGTGTCAATTCTATTTGTGTTATCTTCAATCTCTGTTGTTTATTTTTCACTTTAAACAATGTCAAGCTGCCAGAAGCAAAAGAGTACATCTAAGGCCTGTACTGAAATTTTGGTGTACATTCCTTGGGTATCTCCAGTTTATGATACTACATACTGCTACTCTGATACATTTCTACGGAAGAGTATTAGGGCCACTGCATAAATTTTTTTCTAAATTCTGACTTTATTCTCAGAATTCTGACTTTAAACTCAGAATTCTGACTTTAATTCTGACTTTATTCTCAGAATTCTGACTTTAAACTCAGAATTCTGACTTTAAACTCAGAATTCTGATTTTAAACTTTATTCTCAGAATTCTGACTTTAAACTCAGAATTCTGACTTTAAACTTTATTCTCAGAATTCTGACTTTAAACTCAGAATTCTGACTTCTGAGATTAAAGTCAGAATTCTGAGTTTAAAGTCAGAATTCTGAGAATAAAGTTTAAAGTCAGAATTCTGAGTTTAAAGTCAGAATTCTGAGAATAAAATCAGAATTCTGAGTTTAAAGTCAGAATTTTAAAAAAAAATTTATGCAGTGGCCCTAATACTCTTCCGTACATTTCAGAGGTAAACAGTACTTTGGACTTTTTACTTCACTAAATTTACAGCTGTAAATAATGGTTACCTTGCAGATTAGGTTGATACAAAACAATAAAACCCAATCAAATACAATTTAACAGATTAAAATATTCAACACTATACAAAGTTGTACTAGCTCAAAAATTAGCACCTTCACTTTTAATTTCTATGTGGATTTTGCCATTTTGTCTTAAAACATTTATGTAGGAATTTTACTTGTAATGGAGTGGTTCAACAGAGTGGTGTTAATACTTTCACTTATAAAGGATATGAATACTTCTTGTAACCACTGACAGTGCCTCACAGAAACCGTATACCGTTTAAGGGCCAGCAGTGGCTGAGCAGTGGAAATTTTTCCCGAGGAATGGTTTTGCCAGCTGTGAGGTCATGAGGTAAGGAAGGTTACACTGTACAGTTCTTTCAAATGATGGGTTGCAGCTTGTACATTTATACTCAAATAATATAGAATTATAATAGCAGGAAATCACACATATGGTACGTTGATGATTTAGAGGAGGCAGCTTCTGATGCTGGCAGCTATAGAGAACTTTAATTACTGCCCTGACATATGATAGGAAAATTCTGCCTTGCTTAAGCCAAACAAGTGGCTGCCTACAAAGTAGCATTTAGTGAGGGTGGTCCTGCAAAAGTGAAAACCCTCCACCCATGCTCCTCTTTAGTAGTCTATGAATACTCAGACACTGACTGACTCTACCCGCATATTATGGGTTTGTATTTGCTGATGTTTCACATTTGGTCCAGAGTTTATATAAATGCAGATGCAAGCCCCACATCACAGTAGCTTGCTGAAAAACCCATGGATTTTCCAACCATGTTCCCAGTCTGTTAATCCAGCTGCCTCTATGTAGACCCGCTCTGTGATTGGGCCCAGATTTGCTGCGGGTCCAGAGTAACTAGTTGGCTTTCTCCCTGAGCCTTTCTCCCATTGCTGCTGGCACAGCGTGACCTGCAGGAAATGACTGAGAATTGTGACTGCAACAATGCTAATGGACCAATGCCAGACCACAGCCGTTTATTCAACCGCAAAAAACATTCCTCAGGGTTAATAACCACAGACACTGGAAGAGAGCTACTATTTAATGATTTGGTATGTGACACAGTACAGTACATGCTTTGTCTGGGGAAAACTGCAAGTAGCTAAATGTGTGGTACTACATAAAGTAAAGCAATACTTTTTAAGCATCTCAGTGCACAATTCTTATGACTCAAATTATTCTTGGTGCAAGCTCCAGATCTTATTTTGAAATAAAGTTGATTGTTTTAGTCATATTTTGGTCATTAAAATTTTATTGAGGAAATATTTAGCACCACTTTGTCACATCTGTTTTAAAAAGTCATCATCAGTCGTTCTGCTTCCAGACTCTCTAAGTTACCTCTCCTTCCTGCCAGCCCTGCCCATCCTTCCTGGATATGAGGTCATGACAGATGAACCAGAACAAAGGATGGGCTGCGGTCATCTTAATTTGAACTCTTACAGCATATTGTATGATCTCTCTCTTCTTTTTTTTTTTTTTTTAAAACATGACAAGTAGAAACAGAGAAGGAAAAGTACCACATCAGCTGGTACAGACTACAGGCTTTTGTTAATGTTAACTCTCTTTTGCAATTTATGTGACTTAAGTAATTTATATTACTTGTTGTAATACTGCAATTTCCCTTTAGGATTAATAAAGTACTGTAATCCATCGATCTTCTCTCTCTGTTCTGTCAGTCTGTCTCTCTATCTAGCCAGCTAGCTATCTAGCTAAAGTAATTTAGGAAAGACTAGTTTGCTAGCTACATTAATGCAAACTAATTTAAATTTGACAGCTATCTCATATTATTATTGTCAGCTTGCTACTGTAGCTAGCTCATTTTTACCACGTTAAGCTAAGAAAGGTAATTATGTTAGTTCATTAGACATTCAAGCAAGCTAGATAGGTGTTTTAAACTATTCTCATTCACAAACTCAAAAGCATTTTAAACTCAAGACCAATTTCAATTTCTACACCATAGTAAAAGGTGAATTTAATTTTTGAGTTAATACAGAAGTTATGTTTTAAACTGGCTTCTACTAAATTAAAAACTTGTAGGACAACTCATTATCCTCCACAAAACCTGACTGGCCACCCCTGCTGGAGTCAAAATGTGAGGAGTGTCAGTATTGTAATACTTTCCGTTCCTACACAAGCAGCCAGACGTTCTTGTGGTATCAGTGACCTTTTATTCGTAATAACTTAACAGGCTTCTATGCTGTTGTTTCAGCCACAGCACACGCTACCGAGCTCTTTGTAACTTCCCACATTCAACACTCAACAACAACAACAACCTGCTCTTCCTCGCTCTCCTCCCACACACCTCACAGCGCCCCCCTCTCACATTTATTTCAGGCGATAACATGTTGAACCATATAACAAGATGCTAGACATTAGAACCATATAACTAGATGCTAGACATCAGAACCATTACATAGCCATTACAGTATTAATGAATCAAAATAAAAACAATGACAAATTGCCTTAAATACAACAATGAAAACAGCCTTTTCCAGTGCTTTATAGTTGATGTTGGTTGAATTAATTGTATTTTACATCAATGGCGCGCCATATTAGTATTTGTTTCTCTGATTGTGTTGTTGCAGAGCTAGCTAAAAAAAGGGACTCTTTTACACAAAATAATCGGACTCTTAATAATGCAGTTTATTTCATAGAACTATGGGTTTAATATAACATTTTACATGCATTTCAAATGTGTCCCCCATCTCTGAGCCTGTGCCCCCATCCCTTCCTGTTCAAATTTTTTTTTATCCGCCCCTGCATACAAGGCCTCCTTCGCAATATTCCTGAGGCATATCTGAGATCGTAAAGGTGAGAAATTATTGCAGCATAAACAAACGTTGCTTCCACATACCTCCACTGAAACCGACCCTTCTGCAGCTGCTCAGCCTTTCTGCGCTGAATGTCCGGGTTGGGGGGGCGGGAGTGACTTCCAGCCAACGTCGACAACTCGGGAGTTGTGAGATCAGTAAAAGATGAGGAGCTGCTCTCTTCCAGCGAACAAGAAGGAATTAAAATTAAATATAAAACCTAAGAAACTGGGAGAATCAACTATTTAGCAATGAAATGTGCGCATGTCTCTCGGTGCGCATTTAACTTTCAAGCAAACCAGAGCTGCGAGCATCCCACGGTAAGTTGTCTTCATTTGGAAAAAAGAGATTGTTTATAACGGTACAATTTAATTCCCTCTATCGTTTAGGGTAAATGAAAGTCATTCTGTAGTGTAGCCTATGATTATGATTCAGAAATAAAGATTATGAATCGTGTTTTAATTGGCGTCTTGGTAGTTTTCATTTTGGACATGGTCCAAGATTTCTATATAAACAAACAGCATCATATTAAAAATTGCAGATCATACATTTCCCATATAAAAGTTTTATGAAGCCTATTTAATAGACAGTTTTTTTTTTCTCACAGGAATAGGAAAACCAGATAATTCAGTTAAAACCCATCAGACAAAACCAAGAATTTGTGCTACTGGATGACAACATTATGAATAATATATTGGCTGCTCACTGTAATAACACAGTCTTCATATCATCCCCTGCAGCTGAACACACTGGATTTGCTGACACTGGACTCCCTGCTCACTTCTGGCATCCAGTGTCAGCGGCCGGTGCTTTGAAGATGATCGACCAGCAGATATATCTCCACTACAACTACACGGGAAGGCTGGACCATCGGCCCACCGTTGGCACAAGCCCTGGCACTGTGGACACCAAAACCATTGTGTTCCTCATCATATGCAGCTTAATTGTCCTGGAGAACCTCACCGTGCTGGTAGCCATATGGAGAAACCACAGGTTCCACAACCGCATGTACTACTTCATTGGCAACCTGGCGCTGTGCGACCTGCTGGCTGGAGTCACTTACCTGGTCAACTTGCTCCTGTCAGGAGAGAAGACCCTGAAGCTCTCACCTGCTCTCTGGTTTCTTAGAGAGGGAAGCATGTTTGTGGCACTTGGTGCCTCAATTTTCAGCCTCCTGGCTATTGCTATAGAGAGACATCTGACTATGATCAAAATGAGGCCTTATGATGCCAACAAGAACTACAGAGTTTTTCTGCTGATTGGGACCTGCTGGCTGATTGCTGTATCTCTTGGAGCTTTGCCTATCCTAGGATGGAACTGTCTGGGCAACCTTCCTGACTGCTCCATAGTCCTCCCTCTGTACTCCAAGAAATATGTAGCTTTCTGTATCACAGTTTTCATGGTTTTGCTCTTAGCCGTGTCAGTCCTTTATGCCCGCATCTACATCCTGGTTAAATCCAGCAGTCGAAAGGTGAGCAAGCACAGCAACTCTGAGCATGCAATGTCCCTGCTGCGCACGGTCATCATTGTAGTTGGGGTCTTCATTACCTGCTGGACTCCCATATTTGTCCTGCTTCTGGTCGATGTGGCATGTAAGCAGCATTGCGCCATCCTCTACAAGGCTGAATGGTTCATTGCTGTGGCTGTGCTCAACTCAGCCATGAACCCAGTCATTTACACTCTGGCTAGTCGTGAGATGAGACGGGCCTTCCTGGGTCTGGTGTGTGGCATTTGCTACAGGGGGAAAGTTTCTGTAAATGACAGTGGGAACAGGCACTCTCTAGAGCCCAGCCACAGCAGGAGCAAGTCGTGGAGCAGCCAGAACAACCCCAACCAGAGCCAGCACAGTGGCAGGCAGTCAGAGCTGGAGAAGGAGCAGGACACAGGCTGTGGTGAGGTCGCAGTGGTGGCAGGAGGGGCTGTTCAAGTTGTCCCCTAGGGACAGAAAAGACTGAACAGTGGGAGCATGTAATGTGCAGTAAGAAATGTGGGTAGTCGTAATATGTGCGGCAGACCTGTGCAGTGGTCACAGTGAACAGAAACAATAATGAAAACATAAGTTTTGACCAATGTAAAATGAAGGATTCCTTGAAAGGCTTCAGGCCATGGCTGCGGGTCAGTGATTTCTCCTTTGTGCTTGATATTCATATATCTGCATCTATTATTTGGGAGCTCATTAAAATGTCCACACTTGACATTACAATGATTAATGCATGAGACCAAGTGTGTTCAGTGATTCAATCATTGACAGAAAATGCATTTACATCTGTGCTAACAGATGTAACCATCTAACACAAAGAGAAAATCAGCTGCAGTTAGAAGAAAAAGTGCAATTGTAATACTGCAAAACCAATGTAGTAGTGAAAAATGATTGTAGACAATTAGTGTAATAACATTTATTCTATGCAATCTATACTGTAATTTTATATTTACTCTATTACTGCAGCGTACATATAGTGATACCAGGGCTCCCCCTGGTGGCTGATATTGATAATGCTCAATGCTGAGAGTTTGGAGACGTATGTGAACTAGAACTAGTTACCTATATGCAGCTCATTATATGAAAGAAAATAAAATACAAAGGTAAAAGACATACGCACCTGGATCACCTCATGTGGCCGGTAGCACAGCTTTGCATGTTTCATTGTTAGTGCCCTCCTCACACCTTTGAAAAAATTACTTTACACAAATTACAAATAAATATTGCCAATTATTTCTAGTGAACTACAGCCATGCAGACTTTAATTTTCTATGTCCAGATTTACAAACATCCCAGTTTTGGAGCCACTACAATACAATGGGTGGGAATTGTATTCAATTAAAATAGCACTTAGAAAATTACCCCCCTTATTTAAATATCCAATATCTAATTTTCTTGAAAACTATATTTTTCTTTTACAAAATAAATAGGCCCTAGACCCTATTAAAGCATTGACCTGCCTCAGATCATTGTCAATCTTGGTTGTATTCACCTCTGTTGTAACCATCTATCGTGGGAATACTTTTTTTATTTTTTTATTTGGATGAACCAAAAATTAATATTTTACAGGAAAACATGACAGTCTACATGCTCCATCTGTCATAAACTGTGGTATTAGATTATTACTACTGGAGCACAACAGATTCTACACATTCACGGTTTTATTGCCAACAGTCATACATTATAATGTTAAATCCAAAACAACCAAAAGATTAAATCTGTAAAACATTATTTGGACTGTTTTTATTTCCTTTTTTCCTATACCTGTTCCAAAATAGTAATTTTTCTGTGTAATTCCCTCTGACAAAGGTTTATATCTAGAATCTGGAAATGATACATTTATCATATATACTGTAATAGAGAGGGAGGGAGAGACAGAGAGAAAACGGTAGTCCTAAGCAGTGACACGCAGCAGAGCAAAACATGACTTCTAGTGAACACACATACCCAACTGAAGATCAGCTATTGCACTTTGAAGAGAGATAAAGCGAAATAAAAACACATTGTACAAATAAAAGGCACATTTTCATCAACAGAAATCTGGAAAGCAGCCATGTCCTCATCCGTTTCCCACATGTTCAGTTGTAGTTTCTTTATGCCACACAACTAATCATCATGTTATCGGAGAGATCCAAGTATGGAGCTGCTCCTGCTGTATATATGCTTTGTTCAAAACGTTGCTGATGTGGTTGTACAAATTTGCATTTAAAAAATAAACCGAGCTCAAAATAATTCTTTACATTAGCATAGTTCTTTGTAAAAATTTTGCGCATTTCTTTTCCCCAAGCTAGATTTGATGAAAGTCACAAATAATCAAATGAATTAAAAGTTCATGTGTCAAAAACACCCATAATTCTTTGCACCCTTGTCACTTTTCCCTCATCCTTCCTCTCAGTCATTTTTTCCCCTAAAGGAATCCCGAGTAGAAAATTAGGACATATGGGATGCAAGGAATCAAGGTGGTCTTAACTGGTTCTAACCAAAATGGATCTGGTGGACATTTTGTTTTCTAACAATCAACACTATGTCATTAAATACATGTACTTTACACTCCCTCTTGCAGCAAAATACAGGCACATTATGTTACATTGCATCTGTCTTGTGAAACTCATTGAACACATGCGTATTTTGGCTCAACTGAAATGGTCTGGTGCATATCGAATCCGATGCCCCATTCATTTGGTTTCCATCAGAGTACTGGCAGTAGTAGGGATAAGAGCATTTTAATAGTCTGTGTACTATTTCTATTAGCATTTTAAACAGGTTTGATCCCCACTCCACACAAAGAGTAAACTGTTTTGTGTACAATGGACTGCAAAATGCAAATTAGCTCTGATCTGTCAAGCTTCTGAAAATTTCCCCTGTACCATATCAAAGCAACACACAGCTAGATAACATTCTTTGTTACCTTTAAGTGATAAAAAAAAAAAAAAGGAATTTAAGTGCATGTGATCGACAGGTGAACAAGTGCTTCTATGATGACACCTGTGGCAATATAGTAGTCATGCCATAAGATCTCCAAACTGGGAAATAAAATCTTTTTACCATCAATAAGTGAAGATGAACATTCTGCATTGAGTGCACAGTGCATGAATTCAACCTTTGTCTGATGCAGTTTAAGTGTAAATTACGCCTACTGGCAATTCATCTTGGTACAACTGACACGGATCTAACTTTCTGATTGTGCTATTCATTTGTGATCATTCAAACAACTTTTAAAAGTTTACAAAAATGTCAAAAATGTTAATTGAGAATGTGAGAATATTCATTGCAAGCCCCCAGAAACTAATCACCGACTACACACCTAAAAGAAGAACCTGAAGAAAACCAATTCAGAAATAATCACTGGTTGAAAAGCATAAATATTTTACAGTGTCAGCATACACAAGCACCTCTTTCAAATAAAGTGGTATCAAGGTCTACAAACAAGGTCCACAAGAACAGTTGACTTAAGTCATGCGACTGCTTTGACACAAGAAATTACTTTAGAAAAAAGGTTCTTTAAAGCCAATGACAGCACTATGAAGGAAATCTGTTTGCACCCCAATGCTAACCACTGCAAAGCAACACATTCAGTTCTTATCCCCAATCAAAACTGGTTTCATCTAGTGACTGAGTGAGCTGTCACACTACGGGTGAGATTAAAGGACATTTTTTCTTACACCAATTCATTAGAAACAGCATTTGTTGTCCAAACTATTCCCTCGATCTCTTAGCCAACAGTTCCTGTAGAAATGAGGTTGTGCTTGACAGACAAAACTAAAATTTGTTTTTATTCTAAAATATTCTTAACACCTCTTGGAGGTTTGATTTGCACTTTGTCTAAACTACAAGAACTGTCTTTTTTAATTTTTAAATCACCAGATCAAGATAATTTCCTCTCAAAAATATAGCATTTCAGTCATCGCGGTAAAATAACAGTTCTATAAATAATTTATTTTATTTTAAACAAATCTTGTGGTCTCCAGTGAGTCCAGTAAAGTAACTGCAGGCCAGTTTTTCCCAGAACACTGTCAGCACATCAAGCCTTTAAGCATCTTCTCCTAATGGTTCATCTTCAAGTCTCAGGATGGTAGGCGATACTGCTCAGAGCCTCCTATTTCCCATCGGGCATTGCAAGCATCATTGTTTCCTTCCAACAGGCTGAAGGAGACACAGTTCACTCCCAGCTGACACAATTGGCAGACTGTTGTCACGGTGATGACCAATAAGGTGGCTAATGCTGTCAAATACATGATCTTTTGTCCTTACCTTTGAAAAGAGAACAACATGTTATCAGCTGTCTTTTGTTTTTTGTTTTTTTTATATAAACACAGTGAAAATTATTTCACCTTATTCTTTTCTACACACACCTAGTCATTTTCCTCTACAGTATCTTCCTCAAACACACTCATGAGCTTGAACCCTGTCTTACCGTGCCTTCAGGGTCCACCAGCAGGAGGTGCTTGGCAAGTCCATTGTGCATGCCTGTCAGTACATAGGACCCTGGGTTGGTGGTGCTCTTACGAACCAGAAAGTCTCCGTCTTCCGTCAGCAGTTTTTCAGCATCACGGCGGCTCATTTTGCCATGGTACCATGCCTGGCCCTCCAGCTCCTCCTGTGCCCGCAAAGCCAGTGAGCGCACGAGAAGTGGGCTTGAGTTGTCCACAGATGCTACCTTGTGAAGACCCGACACCTGGGGCTGGGCTTGCCCCTGGGACAGTGGATGGGACTGAGACTGAATGGCATCCTCAAAGGGCTCTGGTACAGGTGAGGGCAGTGTCAAAATAATTGAGAGAATGATATCTGAAGCAGGATGTTTAACTTTATAGCCATCAAGATTTGTAAAAAACAGTATATACTATTTATTAATGGAGCAATTGTTTTATGAAGATCAATTAACAATACATACACACACACACACCATTTACTTCTTCAGGTGTCAAAAAAGCTAATACCATCTTCAGGCTCCACAAAGACTCATAACCCTGTGACATTTTGAAAATTCAACACATCTGGCCCAACTGGCTTTTCTTCAGGTGCAGAGGCATCAGAAACAATAATGAAGCACAGTCAGGTCTGCACAACCCTTTGGGAGTCAGCTCCTCCTCAAGCCCTTGTGACCTACAGTTACTCACAACACCCCTCTGTGCATAGGTCTGTGGAGAGGTTTACGTGTATCTTCCAAGAAGCTGGGCTAGTGAAGCACAGCGTCACATAACTTTATAATACATTAGTACTGGTATTAAAAGCTTACAGTATTTAATCATCAGAATTAACTGGATTTACCTGCACTGTGTTTTGTGGTGCAAATGTTGCAGTTTGCTATTAAAAGAACAAAGTAAAAGGCAAATGTCAATAGCTTAAAAACTGTAGCTGGTTAAAGACACCTGTACATTCATTTCATACAACAGCTCACTTTTGAATTGTATAGTTCATATATAATTTGAGTCATGGATTTTTTTTTTTTTACTGTATGTGGTTACACACATTATTATTAGTTACATTATGTAACTGATCTTTCATGTATAAATGTTAGCAAAGCTATTATTACACATGAAAGCTGAGGTTGAAGTCGAGAGGAGGAAGGAATGAAGCTGTACACTGGCATTAACACTGTCCTCCTATTGCCTACACATTAACATGATGTTATTATCATGCCACACCAATACCACCGAGAAACAAAAACTAGGAAAACTCTATAATTAAGAACTAATTAGGAAGTCATCTTACAATGGTACTGTTCAGGCAAGGCACAAATTCTGTTCAAATACTATAATGCTGCAACCGGTGAATTCTGTATTCATGGAGGTACAAACTGCTCTGAATAAAAAATGTATCAAACTGCGTGAAAGCTGATATTTCAAGTTATCAGTGAATGCTTCCAGCACCAATAGAAACTTCAGCGCACACCAACCGATACTTACTCATGTCAAACAGGTCCTTCTGTGGGCTTTCTTTGGCTGCAGCCGCCATGTCCTTTGTCACACTGTCCCCCTCTGCCTGGAGTGCTGCCAGTACCTGGGCGTCAATGTGCTGGGTGTTCACATATGCAGGCATCTCTGCTGTTTTTGGTGGCGGAGCTTTACTCTCAGGCAGACTGGCTATATCAAATGATCCTAGACATTTGAAAAACAGTGTTGGATCGACAGAATGCTGCATAATTAAACATTTATGTTAAATGTGGATTTTCTTACCCTGGTTTATGAATGTGGACTTTCTTTCATCTCCCCAGTTTTCGCCACAGTGGCGTCCTTGGTAATATGTCTGATCTACTGCACCTGGGCCCAACTGATGATGTACAGACACAGTGGATATTTAAGATTCCTGACTTAAGACACAAATGTGTTTATATAAAAATGATTCAACATTAATTAACTGTGCAAAAATTGACATTAAATCTACTTTCATCCTTAATGAACTGCATTTGCCCTCTCAGTGCAGTTCATCTGGGCTGGTTTGAAAGCAATCAAATTTTAGTGTGAATAAAAGAACCGGACTAAGACGGCGTGAAAATCAGGGGCTGTTTGCTTGTGGTCTGAATATAGTATATGTGAAAATGCAACAGTGCACTTTTGTTTTCCCCCTATGATCCATTCCAAACAAAAGTCCCCATGTGAATCAAATTTGTTCATTTGTACCTGACAGCCATCGGGTGATGCATTCTGATTGGTCAGCCGTGCATCAATGAAGCCTCCAGGAGGGGGCATCTTGCCAGGGATGTTGTTATAGTAAGGATGTTCTGCGGGCTCCTCCTCTTCCTCTGTCCATGGCAATTCCTCCATGTTTAATACCCTGGAGAACACACACAGGGTACATCTCAAGTCCCTTAATTGAATCCCATTTCCATCACTTTTCTTTGCAACCCAGCTCCTCCCACTAAAGAGGTGAGACAAGGAAAAGATGACGGCTGCACAGCTGTTTTATGCGTGTCATGAGCACCTCACCTGTCATGTGTAGAGGACAACTTGCTTGAGGGACATTGCAGGTATTGCTGGAAGCGGAGGTCAAAAGCCTGACCGATGGTACTGATGACATCCTGGGCTAGACCATCAGAGCACTCCAGGATGTGACATGCTGGTTAAGGGTCAAAACAGCAAATCTGAATGAGCATGCTGCATGTGACACACAGTATGAGACACTGAAGTATTAAAGAAAATAACACCCACCTCTTCTGTTGACAGGGTCCTTTGCTACATAGGCAACATAATCTGTTGTGTCCTAAACAAACACATTTTTTTACACCAGTTTACCAACTATAAAATACACCTTAATACATATTATTACACAATTAGTTTGTTTTCTTAAACAACAGTGATGGGATACAGAGATTCATACTTTAATATGGAATAAATAACAAGGTAATTAAACTTGATGTCATGTTTAAAGAGGGATAAGCATCTTTTGGAAACAGCAGGTCAGTAAGAGCAGTTTGCTTTATAAGAATTGTCTGCACAGTATAAATGCAGTGACTGGATCCCACTGGGTTCTGAAAATTACAAAGATGGGATGACATTCTTTTGTTAAATAATAGCACATGGGCAAAAAATACTGTACATTTTAAATTTTATTTGTAAATCAAATCTTTGTTGTGAGGTGGTCTACAGTAGGTTTTCATTATCTCAAGATGCTGATGCCAGTTAATTTGTCACAGGCCAATAAATTACTTACAGGGTCTCCACCTGATGCGAAGGAGATAGACTGCATATGATGGTTGGCTATGATCTGTCAGGAGCAAAATTTGACGGCACATCCAAGTTACCAAATGCGTCTTTATACACATACATTTTACACATACGTACACTCAGTGTGCAGTTTATTAGACACATTTTACTTAAACTAATTCAACATTGCTGCAATAAATGCTCTCCTCATTAAAAAAATAATGTTGAGTTTTAGTTGATATTGTTTCACACATATTTTCATTCACCTTTATGATCATTCTGGAGGCTGTGATGTGTGCCGTTGTTGAAAAGTACTGCATTACACAGAGCGGTATTCCTATTATTAAGCCTAGCCTCATAAAAATGCTTGCATAAAGCAATATAATTCAACAGCAGCACAAACTACATCTTCCAAAATTATTATGCAGTTTAATCAACAGAATATGTTCAGAAAACTAAACATTATCAGCTTGAGGATTTAATTCAGGACTACTGTATTAGACTACATTAGGTTTAGCTAGGTGTGTACATGTACACACCTTCCCTTTCTTGCCACGAGTTATGAGACCACTGAACTAGGAGGCAGCTAGCTTAGTTTAGTAGACTGGGGAAAGATTCAGGAGCCTGGTTGTGTCCTAGGTTAGAAAATGTGTCTACCAACGTTAAATCACACAAATTAGTATACTGCATTTTCTCTGTCAAAATGCTGTACTCCTTTAACCACTAACTAAACACACAATTCCTTCTCAAAAGTATTACAACAGTTTGGTTAATGTCACTGTTTTTGCAAAGCAGATCATTTTCTGATACATACAACCAATTTTTCCGTTATTTATAGGTTATTAGCTAGCTAATCATGGTATTTGATCAGATCACTGCCTTGTTGAAAACATTTGATTTGCATTTTTATGATCATCCCTTGCTTTATGAATCTAGTTAACTAGAGCCAACAAAGGCAAAAACCACTTGCATGTTTAGCTTAACTAGTGCAACTTTTCTGAAGCTACACCTCAGATTAGAACCAGATGGTGAAGGACGAGTCAGGATCAGTCTCCAGATTTGACGTTTTGTCCGCAGCTTCTCTGAAGCATCCTTGGCTTTATCGCACAAGGAGGCAGTACTCAGGTTATCATAAATGTTATGTTATTTTTGAGTATCGATATGCAGGATATGACACCATCTGCTGCTGGTATCAAGAATGATATTGGGGTAGAGCACAAACAAGGCACTACCAATAAGCACACTGCAAAAAAAAAAAAAAAAAAAAAAAAAAAAAAAAAAAGTAAAGTAAGGTGCACAGAGGAAGCCAAGTTGCTAATGGCTAAAAACAAGATTTTTGTAGCAACCAACATTTGGAAACAAAAGCCTTCTGATCACCAATTATTTTTTTTTTACTTGACCATGGAGTTGAGTGAATCTTGTTTAGGTAGCTCCCTTTTTCTTGAACCAGTGTTACTTGTGCACATCAGTGTCCAACATACTTCCTAAAAACATGTTGCTATTTAGTATTACAGTAATTATATTTACTCAAGCACTGTACTTTAAGTACAATTTTGAGGTATCTGTACTTTAGTCAAGTATTTTCATACTTTGACTACACTACATTTTAGAAGCAAAAACTATTTTTTATTCCACTACGTTTATAGATAATTTTAGTTACACAATCAAATTAACCACACAAATTACAGTATAATCATCAGAATTGATCCCTAGCAGGAAATTCAAACTACCCAGCAGTAATTCAAATTAGCAGTCTAATTCGCTTCCCTTTTACTGGCTGCAACATTAAAGCAATTAAAACAATAATGCATCAATAATTAAAATCAAATCATGTCAAATACATCAATGTAAAATATGCACTTTGGTACTATATATATTTCAGTGCTTATATTTTTGTACTCAAGTAAAATTTTGAATCTAGGACTTTTACTTGCAACTGTATTTTTACATTGTAGTACTGGTACTTTTACTTAAGAACATGTTCGGTACTTCCATCACTTCATTTTTATCACATGCATGCATTGTTTACAGTGGTGGCCAACGGACCTGTTTGCAGTCGGGTGTCATCAGGTTGAGGCTACTGGTGGAGATATTGAGGTTGATGGACACGCCAGCAAACTGCAGGTTGCTCTTGCCCAGGATACTGGATAAAGCTTTGGATGGTGGCTGAGAGGACAAAGAAAAATAAAATCAATTACAGCAACAGTTTCTTTTTACCAGTGTTACAGAACTTATTTGCCACCTCGACATCTGTATATATGAAGCGACAGCCAGTAGCTTAGCTTGGCATGAAGGCTGGAAACAGCTAGCCCGACTGTCTAAAGGAAAAACTAACCGACCACTGGGTGTGAGCTCATCCAACTCTGACAATATAAGCCTACTTCTGAAAAAAAAATCTAGTTATTCCATTATTATTCAGCGAAGTGTCACTTCACCACTAGTGAATAAAAACAGAGGAAACATGACTGTTTGTGTTGATTATAATTTAGACCATGAAAATTTCCTCTAATAGTTTAAGAGGAAACTGAAGTGGTGGATACTTAAAATACTGTTGTGAATTGTGATTTTAATGAAGAAAGGAGGCAAAGAGCCAGATTAATCAAACCCATTCATAATTCTCAGTATCAAGCTGATGTCACAGTCTGTCTGCCAACATCACTTTATATCTCACATATATTCTGAGAAACTGGCCGTCACTCATTTTGTGTTATATACTCTTCCCTGACATTACAAGCTTTAGAGAGCAGAGTAATGCTTCATTTCACACCCTACATTAATACAGTCTCCTCACATGCTGAGGAGACACAGTGCGCACACACACACACACACACACAGAAGACAGATTCTCACACAAACATACACGAGTGCACACACGCACACATACACTAGCTCAGCCTTCTGATCACAGATACTGTGCACTACATGAGTCACTAAGCACTGTGTGCAATGCATCATGGGTTGTAGCTACACCCACGCACACAGAGTCCCATACCTCTCCATCTCTCCTCAGCCTCTCTAAGAACAATCTTTCTCTCTCTCTCCTCTCTCAGTGGCTCAGCCTACCCTCTTTTTACATAAAATAACTTAGAGGCAGTGCTGTATACTGTAGAGAAGAGATAATGCCATTTCCTCTACCATACTTTTCTCTAACATTACTTATCTCGGCTCTCTAAATGTGACCATCACTTCTCTTGTGATCGCTTCATGTTTTGATGTCCCTCTCCCTCCCTCCCTCCATGTACCTTTCTCTTCCGCAGAGCTCCCTTGGTCCCTGGAACAGCTTCACACACCAGGCTGATGGCTTCCCTAAAGGGAGGGGACAAAGGACAGTGAAGCCAAGGGGGCGACGTTGACAGCCATGGAATCTCAGTTATTCTTTATAATAAGGTGTACTGCATTTATGGTTACCATATTCATGTTTACATACTCTATGCATCTGTGAGGCTGTACTTAGAACTCTGGGTTAAATGCTGACATGCTCAACATATGAACCT